CATCCATATGGAAAGCCTCGCCGCATCGCGATGGTCAAGGACGGTACCACTGCGGGCCGCATCACAACCACTAACTACACTGAGCCCGTGCAGACCAACTGCTACAACGTGGACCGATTGGGCCACAATTTGGACACGGAAGGCGGGTCGTCTGGCTCGCCACTGATGAGCGCCACAACCAACCTCGTCATTGGGCTGCACAACTGCGGGGGATGCAAGGCCTCTACGACTGCGTACGGCTCCAACTATGCAATCAAGATGACGTACATTGTCAATTTGTTGCGCGTAAAGAATGTCCTCCCCAAGGACTCAGTCGTCGCAACGCTACGTGGCACCCAAACGCAAGCCCTGACCGTCGCCCCGACTTTCGCCCCCAGCCCTTCGAAATGCACTGTCGTGGAAGAAAATGTGGCCTACTTTGGCTATCATCTCGCTTCCACCCAACGAAGCGAGGTGTCCTTGTGCTGTGGCGACTGCGATATCACGCCTGGATGCAAGTTGTTTGTGTGGACAACGGACAACGGTGGCACTTGCTGGTTAAAATCGGATGTGGGCACGAAGGTCGCCAGCGTCGGGGTCAAATCGGCTGTATTGGCTAACCCCATGGCCACGGCGTCTCCTCCTACACCGCCTAGGTGTAGCCCCATCGAAGTCAACAAAGACTTTTACGGGGAAGACATCGCTGCTATTCCTGGCCCCCTCGAAAGCTGCTGCGTGGCGTGTGAATCGATGGACAAGTGCAATGCTTTTAGCTGGTTCAACGACATCTGCTACCTTAAAGGCAAGCGCACCAGCCCTTCCCTCACCAGTGGCGTCTATTCAAGCCGAGTGTATAAGTGCTCTGCGGTGGAATCTGGGGTGGATTACTTCGGTGCAGATATTGGCAGTGCGTTTGCTGACGCGGTGGAAGATTGCTGTGCAGTGTGCCGTTCGACTGCCGATTGCAAGGCGTTTTCGTTTGCGTTTGGAGTGTGCTACTTGAAGAGCAGCAAAGGTATCGCAAAGCCGAATAGCGTCGTGGCGTCGGCAGTTTTGTAGACGCGTACTGGAGAAATCATAGGTACCGAAGAGGACTACACTCCGAAAAAGTGATCATAAATTGGTCATTTATGTTATGGTACTACCGGTACACTAATTCGTTCAAAATATGGCACCGTTAAGGTGATGCTACATATATTGGCAGCGATCCATCCGAGCACAGCGCAAAACACTTGAGACGAAACATGTATCATTAGGCAGGATGTTAACGCGATCTACGCGCACAAGTTCTTCCACTCGACTTCGTTGTCGCTTTCGCTGGCGCAGTCGCTGACAGGGTCGTCGCTCACAATGTAGTGGGTACCCACCGAGATGGGGCTGGCCAGCGCGGCTTCGGCAATGTACTTGGCCGTCTTGACGGCATTGCGCACGCCCATGCTGCGCGCCGTCACGGTCACCGATTCGCTCAGCAAGTCCATCTTGGTTTCCAGCGCACCCACAATCTTGATACCACGCAGCATCCCGTCCGCCGTCCGCTTGGCACCCACAAACGTCCACATGGCTTGCTGCAGCTCCGTCAAGATAGTCGCCACGGCAGCCTCGTCGGCGGGTTGCCACGGACGCCGGCCAAGGCCAGCACTGTCGGCCGGGACGCGCACCACGGCATTCGTCTCGACCGCCGACCCGACCAAAGTGGTGGCCATAAAGTCAGTCGCCACAGCACACCCCCACACCAACGCCTCCAACAGCGACGTCGACGCGAGGCGGTTGGCACCGTGCATCCCCGTGCAGCTCACTTCGCCCGCCGCGTACAGCCGAGGCACGGACGTCTTGCCGCTCAAGTCGACTTGGACGCCTCCGCAGTGGTAGTGCGCCGCGGGCACCACCGGCATGGCCTCCTTGGTCATGTCGATGCCTCGCGCCAAGCAGTGCTTGTAAATGGTCGGGAACCGGTTCTGGAGCCACTCGGACGGCATGTGCGAAATGTCCAGATACATGCAGCTCTCGCCTTCCTTGTCCATCTCGCTCAGGATCATACGCGCCACCACGTCGCGCGGCGCGAGCTCGCCGTCCACGTGGTAGTCCCGCGCAAACAAGTGACCGCTGCCGTTGCGTAGCTTGGCGCCTTCGCCCCGCAGCGCCTCCGTGAGCAAGAAACGCCGCTCCCCCGGCAGACACAGCGTCGTGGGATGGAACTGGACGTACTGCATGTTCTTCAGCTTGGCGCCGGCCCGGGCAGCCACGGCCACGCCCTCGCCGCGCGCGCCTTCGGGGTTGGACGTGTTGGCGTACAAGTCCCCGAGCCCCCCCGTGGCCAAGAGCGTCATGTCGGCGTGGATGAGCTCCACCGCCGACGTCGACCGGTCCACGAGCAACGCGCCGACGCACTCGTTCTCGTCGTTCAGGGCCAAGTCGTACACCACTCGACCCGTGCACAGCTCAATGTTGGGGTGATTCATCACCGCCGCTTGCATGGCGGTCGTGATAGCTTGGCCCGTGTGGTCGGCCTTGAACAGGATGCGCGCGCGGTTGTGCGAGGCTTCCAACGTCAGCTTGAGCTCGCCCGTGTCGGCGTGGCGCTCAAACGGGACCTTGGACACGTCCAAGAGCAAATCCTCTACGCACGCTGGCCCTTCCGTCGCGACTTTACGCACGGCTGGGTCGTGGCACACCCCCGCGCCGGCGCGATGGATGTCGGACGAAAGCAGCTCGGGCGAGTCGTCCTTGGACTTGTAGATGATGCCGCCTTGGGCCCAGTAGCTGTTGCAGTCGGCGGGGTTGATGGCGGCACCCAGCATGATCACATGGACGCCTTCGCGGGCGAGGCGGAGGGCCGCGGCCGAACCGGCGGCGCCACAACCGATGATCAGGGCTTGGGTGCGTCGAACAGGGAGTTCCGAGTCAACCGTCACGTAGCGATTGGCTGGAACCGAGTAGTCAACGGTCTTGGACGACGACGTTCTGGCAAATCGGCGAGCGGTATGCTTGATGATGTTGGGGGTAGTGGTGGTCGTGGGAGTCATCTTAATGCGAGGCGACAATGCAAGCGTACTTCTTGTTGAAGGTCCAGCGGCGTTTAACAGACATGCAACAGTGGAAGGCTCCAGCGTTGCGGTGTGTTGAGGGCGAATTCGGAAATGGCTGCTCCATCGTCTCTTGCCACCAAGTGTAACTCACTTGGCCGAAATTTGAAGTTGGTATCCAAGTTCATCTCTCCCAGTTGGGTATTATTTTACGCCAGTATACAAACATCAAGTCTGAATTGCGTAGTCGGAATTTAATTTGCTGATCTGGTGGTGATTGGCTGCACACGTTTGGCCATTGAACACCGCCGTCGTCCTCTTTTTTAGCCAATGGTATTTCATGTATGAGGCAATTTGGCGTTGATTGGATATATTTTAACGAATCGTTGCCCGAAGCGAGGCTGAGAAATGGTTACAGAGTCCCGACGCATGCTGTTTGTCGCAGCATCCGAATGACTCATGGGGCGGATGAGTCATTCGCCTCCGAGACATAATATACTAACTGAATGTACGCTCATAATATAGGAGATAATACGTACATTCTGAAATCGGGTTGTATACAATTTCAGTATTGATCGTGGGATTAAGTTGCTATGATAATAACACCTGAAAGATTGCAATCAACCGCATTCTTTTTTGACTAGCCACGATTATGTACTGTACCCGATAGACGCCAGCGACGAAGTCAAGTAGCCTGGTCAGATCGTGAGGATGAATCAACCGGTAGGCGACGGACGATGCAGCGCTGACAATGAGATTGAGGATGATTGAGCTTTCACAACAGGAATTGAACGTCGTTGGATGATCCCCTCCAAATCCCGAGGCAAAAACTAACACGAGTAAATTCTTGAAACGTCGAGGTACAGGGAATTTCGATGTGAAGCGTTCCAGCCCAGCAGCAATACTGTAAGCTCACCCTCGAAACTATCGGGACCTCGTCGCAACAGAAAGATACTGACCGGTACAGTAATACACTACAGTAGTGAATTTCAGAGAGTTGGTGTACTACTGTACGTACTTTAGAACCTATCTGTCGTATTTTTTATACTCCTGTATCTAGGAAATACCTTATGTTTTTGGAGCCGAACTTATTCGAAGTGCACCAGTAAGGTAAACTTTATAGGATGTAATCCTATAAAGTTTGCCTTTCTTTAAAGTACACCACCTTTGCTGATTGGCAGGCAGTCATTAAATTCTCAGATGTCAGGTGATATCTTGTAGTTTGTATGTCTTTCACAATAATAATATACACACAACCCCTCATCTCGTTAACGTTACACAAGATCGACCTGCATTAGCGTCATGTCTGCACGAGGATTTGGCGGGTTCGATCTGTCTCCGACAAAAGATCAAGCGCTGCTTAGTGCCGTGTCCAGCCACATCATGGATCTACGGTTCACCGTTGTGTGTGGGAAGGGTCTTCTGGCAGCGGGGCCAGACGGCTTGACGAGCAACTGCATCTGTGACATCTCGCTCGTGTCCACGGCGCAAAAAACTCTGGTCAATACCCGTTCACGGCTAGTCAAGTCGACGCGCAACCCGCTGTGGAACCTGGCAGTGGATTTCGGTCGTGTGGACCTGAAGGACATTGACGGCATTCGAGTTGTCGTGAAGCATTCTGGCGGATTCACGTCGTCCAAGCCGTTGGGTGAAGCGTTCGTCCCCGTCGAGTTTGTAGCTGAGGGCTCGGCTGTCGACCAGGTCATGTTGGCGACTACTTTGACATCAACATGCTGAACAGGATTGAACCGTAGGACTCTTGGTTTCCATTGACCCCGACGCCAGACATGCCGCGCGCATCAACCTACGGCGACATCCGAATCGTCTTCCCCGCAGCGACCACTGCCAAGGCCTCTCCAGCAGCTGCAGCCATCCAGCACAATCCCGTTGCAGAGCTGAGTGCAATCAAGGCCTGCCATCAAGCAGTTCCTCGGCCAGGACAATTCTGGTTTGCCGTCGCCGCCCCTTGGGTTGAAGCGTGGCTGGTATGGCAAATCCTCACGTCCGCTGATCCTGCTCAACTGTGGCCACGTATGTATGTGCAGGTGTTTGTATCCAAGCTCCAGCACACCACTGCCGATGCACCGGGCCCCATCCCCAACCACTTTTTACTCGACAACTCCTCTACCTCGACGCCTCGAATTCGAGCAAACTTGCGCCTGAAGCAAGACTACCGGTACTCTATCACACATTCGGTCGTGGTCTGATGACTATTATGTATTTGTTGTCCAGGCTCATTGATGCGGCAAGCTGGCAGCTGTACTATAGCTGGTACGGCGGTGGGCCTTCGATCCAAGTGCAAGTTCCCACAGACTGCTCCAGCGTCTCGCAGTGGATGGTGGGGCTTCGCCTTGCCGACCCTGGCGTTGCTTCAATCGTCGCTGCGTCGCAATAGGTAGTACTAACTAGTAGTAGGAGTAGCTTGGAGATGTTTCGATTGAAGTATGCAGATTAATATAACCAGGTTTGTGTCACATCTGCATTGGTTGAAAGGATAAGAAACCTCATATGGCATTCACAGTGTCACAGTGAGATGGATGCCATTCTTCTCATAACGTTAACATCGACGCAGCGTCCCGTCAGATAACTCTTACTTGGAACAGAGTAGTACGTAACAAGCTCCATCAGGCTGCCATGTACTTAGCACCTACGAGCGTTGCTATATTTAAATGAGGTTTTATCGTGTGCCAATTTTGTAACGACGAAAGTCGTACCTCGCAATAACGTCGTGGTCAACTGGTCCACAACCATGGTTCAATCCACGCACGGTTTGCCGCTGTCCACTCGACCCAGCCTCACGTCGACCATGTCGTCGTCGTCGTTGGGCTCGTTGCCTTCGATGTTGTCGTCCTTTAGCTTGCCTTCCATTCACAACATCCGGACCCCGCCGCCCTTGGTGGCGCCATCCGTCGCTGCTGCTGCGACAGTGTATCAATCCCCCACCGCGTTGTCTCTTGGGTCACTCAAAGCCCGAAAAAAGATGATCCAAAATACCGTCCAGAAGCCGCCGCGTCGACACAATCGACTGTCGAGTTCGGTGAGTGGCAACCCCCTCGACGGCGCGGACGAGGAGCGCCAAGTCGATGGCATCGTGTACCAGAGCCGGGTCAAAGTGCCCCAAGCGTGGAACTTTACCAACGCCAAGGAGCGGTGGCAGGCCGCCGTGGCGCGAACGACCGACGACCAGATCCCCCGCCATCACCGACAGAGCCGTATGTGACGATGTGTCTGGTGCATTCTACGGTCATTTCTTTTAAACGTCCTCGAGGGGGAAACTCCCCCTCCCCTTTTGGCTCGTCTGGGGGGTGTAGTTGACCCTTCATTTTTGTCCATTTCGAAATGTATGTATATCATGGGCAATAATGATAGTCGCGGGGGAGTTTTTGCATATGACGACGAATCCACGAAACTCGGACGTGACGCCTCAAAACGCCGAAGCCCGGAGTCGATGTGCCGAGTCGTTGTATAAACTGTCCAAGCAAATTGGATCGGAAGCCATGATCATTGACAGTGGGGCGATCCAGGTGAGATAGTTCTCCAAATCACTACAAGACGACAACGTTGTGTTTTATCGACCCGTGGAGTTTAGTCAAACGAGCTTCATATTTGCTGTGCGTAGAATATTGCTGATTTCAGCGACACCGACGACAGTCGATTGCAAGGCTATTGTGCCGCCACACTGACCAACTTGACCGCGACGTCATCCTTACCGGTACAAAAGTCGTCAACCCTTGATGAAAGAAAGATTCATCTCCCCCATCACAGGTCCTCATGTCATTTGCCGCACACGATGGGATCCCAGTCGTCCTCGAAGCAGCCTGGTCGCCGTCGTTCCACGTTAAAGTCCTGTGCACGACCGCGCTGTGTCGATTGTCATGCTACCCCGAGTTTACCAAAACGCTGTTTGCGTCCAAAGCGGTACGTACATACGCAGGATCCAACACATTGAACCACAGCCGTTCATTTTTCTTGCGAGGAAACAATTCATGCCGACGTGTAGGTGATTGAGCTGTCCAACATGCTGTCGCTGCCGCACCCGCCGTTGCAAAAACTGTGCATTCAAACACTGGTCAATATGATTTGCCATGGCTGCGAATTCCACGAAAAGCTCTTTTGCGGCGGAGGCAACGTCGGCCACAACAAACTCGGGCTCGTCTTGGCCATTTCCCAACTCGCCGAGGAGCCTGCTAACGGTGCGTGCGTTCTCGTCCATATATGTATTGGGATATTGGACAACCAACTGCCGCGCCATCGACCCTTACATTGTATTTCAACAACCCTCGTAGGTCGCTTTGCCGCACAAGTCATTTTCAACTTGAGCTTATCCCCTACGAGCGCGGCAGGGGCCATTCGAGGGGGCATTGGAGAAGTGCTGTTTCACCTCATCAAAGCCCCGCACACGACACTCACGTACCTATTCTCAACGGGCTACTCTAATGTCGTTGTTTCGTGTACTATTTGAACGACATGGACTGGTTTTGTAGCCTGGCCAAGCTACTGCTCGCCCCGAATTCTTCGTCCCGCGACGCCGAAGAAGACGATTCAAATCCGCAACTGGTCATTGCCCGGTTGATTGCCATTGCGAGCGGTCACTTTTCCAAGTACTTGGACTTGCAGTTGCTCATGGGGTCGTGGAGCTTGAAGATTGTGCAGCATTTCCTGTACCTGTACGAAAGCTCGCCCCGACTCGGGTTTGTACTCGGACACTGCGCCCGCGTCCTGGCCAATTTGTCAGCCAACGACGAGTACATGAGCAGTGTCTTCAACGGGAACGAGAACTTGGTGGAGAAAATAGTCCGGTTGCATGCGTGGGCCTCCGCCGCAGCAACCACCACGACCTTAAATGCGGACGAGTGCCAGCAAAACGTGCTGCGCACCATCGCCAACGTGACCCGATGCCCGTTATGCTGCCCCCTCCTCGTGCAATCTGGCGTATTTTACGTGTTGAACGAGGTAGATGCCTTCATGAATTGCTTGTACTGTAGCAGTAGTTGAAATCTAGCCATCAACCCCCCCCCCCCCACGAGATTATTAGTATATGTTTTGCATTCTCTACGGAGCTACAGGAGCGCTCCTATCGCTCCTTTTTAGTGGGTACCCTTGTTTGGTTGTGCACATACCTATTATTCGTGGGACACCAAATCGTGGTGTTTGTCGTACTGAACGTATACTATGCGCTTAGGTACTTCTGATGGAGGCCAACACATCGCACGTGGCGACCTTGAAAGACGATGCGCTGGTCGCCCTTGTGAATCTCGTATGCCACGATGCCATCGCCCCTGCCTCAGGCTTGGACGCGCACTTGGCCGACTGTTTGTCCACATCGTTTCGACACGACTCGAGCGACGACCAGAACAACAACCCCCAGTTGGGCCATGTCAAGTACATGTTGAGCCTCACGATATGCTACCTCGCACTGAACCCGCACCTGCGACGAGTGGTCACGAGTCGCCCTGCCCTACTTATTGACGCGTTGTTGTTTGGGTTTCATTACAACCACTCCCCCGGGGCAGACAACGCGGACAAAGCGCCGTGTTTGTCTGGGGGTATGTTGAAGCTGCAGCAGCAGCTGCGGGAGCAACCTCTGGACGCGTTTGACGATGTTAGGGGCGACCCCACCGACGTAAGTGGTCGCGATGCTTCAAAATCTCTAAACCAAACGATGTATTATTGCCAAGACGCTGAATATGGGAAATGTGTGACAGACGCGGTTTCGGTTTCTCGCTGCCATGTGTCACACGGCAGGAGAGTTCCAGTGTGTGGACCACATTCAATCGCTTGTGGACGTCGTTGTGACGTGCATGAACCACCCAAAGCACAGTTCAAAAATTCCCGTCGACCACGGCTTTGTGACGGGCGCCGTCGAGTATTACTGTGCAGGTATGTTGTGCTGCTTTTCGTCTTGGACCCTACCCCTGTCAAAACGTCCAGGCATCTTGTTTACACTGTCCCGGACGATTTGGACCCTCACCCAACAGACGCATGAGTCTGCCAACGACTGGGGGCCCATCCTCTTTGCCCCACGTGTGCAAGACGTCGTGTTTCGGTTAAGGTCGACCCTGTTATGACATTGGATGTCAACATTCTTATAACATTTGTTGTATTGCAGTCGCTTCGCCGCCCATCCATGCCCCCCCACGTCCCCCACCACAGGCGACAACAACTCGCGTGCGTTGAATTTGCGCCCGGCGACCCAGGCCTACTGCACGGGTACCTTGTACCACATGTGCGCTACTAGCCACACCACAGCCACAGCCCTCGTTGGTACATAGTACAGTCTAGTCTTTCTTCCAGAGGGTCGATCGAAATCAGTGTCGACAATGCGCACTTGGCTGTAGCCCTCGTGGAAGCTTGCAACGGGAGCGAAGACCCGCCAACGTTGCTTGCGTGCGCGTCCACGTTTGCCATCGTGTCCTTCACGCCCGAAGGCCGCCAGCTTCTCTTGACGACGCAAGGCCTCGCCCACGCACTAAACAAGCTCGGGCGGTCGTCCATGTGTCAACAATATGCAGCCGTCGCGGCTTGTAATGTGGCCATTACGGGGTACGCATGCATATATCTCGATCGTTTTGCCCTATCCGCATTGCTTCAAAGGATTATAACTGTCGCACGATGATTCTGTTGCCGATAGATGCATGTGGAACGAAGAAGAGCTCAAAGACTTTGTGGTTGTGGCGCTGCTGCGATCGAATTCATTTGATGCGATTCAAGTCCACGCCAAGACATTGTACAACTTGCTGTCGCATCCTGCGTCTAGGGTACATACAGCAGCACAATTGTCTTGATGCTATTCTTGCCGTTTGACTAGTCTTTCGTTGTGTTGCCATTGTGTTTTGATGACATTAGGCCCAAGTTATCAACGATGGCGTGCTGTATGCGTTTTTAAAACTCGCCCAGCTCCAAACCAACGGACTGCGCGGCGGGCCAGAAGAGACGCTGTCGCTGTGTCTCCACGCCCTTTTCAACCTGAGCGACACGGTCGTGTACCATGACACGATCCTCAAACTGGGCGTGACTGCGTTTTTGCTTGGGGGGGTTAGCGGGCGCCGCAAGCGTGTGCTGCACTTCCTCACCCCCGAAAGCCGCCGGTATGTACTAAAGCCATGCCAACAACTATATTTATATATTCCCTTGTCTGAAATGTTCCCCACTTTGTGTTGTATTATGTAATCTATACATGTATATAATATACTTCGACGATGCAGCAATGACACATGGCCTCGATCGTAGGAAGCTGTAATGCGTATTAATATATATGATATGTTTATGTGTCCCCTATATGTATGTATTTGCGTACTGGGTAACATTTGAACCTTTGTACTTCGTAGGCATGCTGTGGGGCTGTTGTGCAACTTGAGCGCCCGGGAGGCCAATCACAAGGAGCTCATTCACAGCGCCCAAGTCACCGACATCCTTCGATGTTTGTGCGATGGGGATACGGAAACACGCGCCAGTGCCGCCATGACGTTGCGGAATCTGACACTGCGAGTGGCGAATGCCGAAGTGGTTCGTGTGATTGGGTTCGTTGAGGGGACATTTTTCATCATAATGCCGTTAGGTATGCACGCGAAATGCGCTCAACTTGCTCCTGGTGTTTTTGACGTCGTCCAACGATTCGGTGCGTCGGCTGGCCGCGCAAGCGATCGGCAACTGCTCGCTCGTGACGGAACTGTTGCATTTATTTGTGGAATTGCAAGTCGGCGACGCGTTGCTCCAAGTGCTGGAGACGCACGATCCAACAACAAATTTGGTTGCCAACGTTGCAACCAACACCAACCCAAATGTCGACACGGCCCGGGCCATTTTGAAAACACTGCACAATTTAGCCTTGGACGACGGCTGTGCGACCGATCTGCTTCATGTCGAGGTAACTTCTGTACAAACCCTCCCCCCATCATCCACCACCTCATTGTTTGTTATCCTCGTATCCTCTATATATGTGTATATTATCTGCCGACGCCACAACCAAACCGACAATGCCTCAAACATCTCCATCGTCGTTGTTTGTTGTCCTTGTATTTCGTCCATATCGGACATCACCCCCAATAAACAGTCGACATCTTCAACCCTGTCTCTCGCTGTAGATGGTGCGGCGGTGGCAGGAAGCGCTACCCCCCCTGCTTTACGACCCTGACGTGTGCAATCTCGCGGCGACCACCATCCATATCTTGAGCCGCAAGGCGGTTGCGGCACCCCTCCTTGCCCGCCAGAACATCGTGGCGCTTTGCCAACTGCTCAGTACGGCCCCACACACCAGCGCCACAGTCCTCGGGGAATGCGTGAGCTGCCTTGTGCATTTGTCGACACACATCGCAACGCACACCGTGCTCTTCGAGACGGGGGTGGTGGATACGCTGGGGCACCTCTTGCATCACGTCGGTGAAATCGATCCCCCGCTTTCCCCAGCCGCCACCGCCATTTTGTTCACCCACGCGGCCATGGCTGTGCGCAACCTGTCGCTGAGTGCCGCCGATCGCCAAACGTCGTCGCAGCAAGATCAACGAAGTATAGATCGGAGCGTCGAACAGGCCACCGCCATGGAAACCTCGGCGGCGTGCGACCAGCTCATGCGAGGCGTCCCGTGGCTCGTCAAGATGGTGCGGACAGTTGCAACGTCGCAACCGTCCTACCCGAAACTGTGCGTCGAAGTGTGTGCCGCGATGGCCAACTTGTGCAAAATCAAACGACTTCGCGCCGCATGTGTGTCCACGGGCATCGTACACATGCTGTTGGACATCCACCGGACATTCAAATCGGTATGTACCACACAATGAAGCAAGCAAGCGTTCTTCTGCACTTTATGCGGCTTGGTTGGTTGTGGGTGTTGGTTTTTACCTTGTGTTGTTGGGAGTAATATTCGTGTGTAGAACGACGCATTTGCCTTTGTGGAGCAGTCCAGCACCGTGACATTGCACCAACTGGCGGCCGAGGACACTGCGACGTTGGAGCCGGGGCTGATTGAAGCTCTTTTGAGTGTGCTAGATCACACCGATGTCGTCGTGCATCAAGTACCGTTATTGCGATCAATATGTCGTTCTCCGGTACCAGTGTGCCCTTGTGGTCACGATATGGGGGTACACACATAGGTGCAACAAGAAGAAGGCAAAGTATCACGGCTTGAAACGGTCGACACGAGTGAGTTAGCCCATGACACACTGGACCAGCCACTGCCCACGTCTGAAAGTCTCTGTCGACAAACATACCGCGACGCTCGGTACTATATAGTCGTCTACTAGTATTATATCGCGATTCCTTTAGCAAATGCCATCCACACCAGAGCTGTGTACACCCACTCCTGAAAACCCTATTTCCTCCATATCATCTCAAGAAGTGGTCACAACTGGTTTAATACAATTCTGACCTAGATGGTTCCATTACATTGTCGAAGCCCCAAGCCAGTTGGATCCGTCGTTTGACGGAGCTCCGACGCCTTTAAACAAGTATCGACTGCGGGGTCCATTGCCTGCGGTCCAGGACGCGATTGCCCCTGCACCTCTGTGTTCAATCCCACTCAGCACTAGTAGTAGCAACCACTCCGCCCTTCCCCATGGTCGCATCCTTGTGATCGACACACACAAAGCCCATTTAGAAGACGACTTTGCACTGGACGAGTTGGCAGCCAAGACGTCGGCGGAGTCGTCGTCTACTGGCAACCACGCCACCCACCAGCTGAGGTTTACACCAGTGAAAAAGTTCGATCACCATATGAAAATGACGCGCAAACAAAGCCGAAACGGCTATGTCGGAACGTCGTCGTCGGCGTTGCCGCACATCAAAAGCGAGCTGCAAGTGGAAAAGTAAATTAATCATAAAGATTCGACTATATTGGCCAGTTGATTGGAGCTCCTTCTACTCTGGACTCAGGGTTACTAGAAGATAGGGTATCTGTTACTAAAATATAAGCGACCATAGTCTAGAATAGAAGACACCATCGAAGTCATGAGTACATGTACTGCCTATGAAATAGACGTTCTAAAAAGCAGGCTACGGACCCTGTGTTTGTATCTCTGTGAAATATACTGTATATATATATACAAATGTAAAAGTTATTTGAGGCCTAACAGTAAACAAATTGTGTTTACGAATTCTAGTAGAAGATATAAACAAGAGCATATCACACCTGCAGTTAGTCAACCGTTAAACGTCTACCTCGAGCGAATCAAGTGCACGTGTATGTTTGTGGATCGATAGACAGGATCTAGTTGGTCGAACGGGATGTTGGTGACGACATGGGACTTGGCCATCGAGTCCAAGAAGTACCGGCCTTGGTTGCCAGCATACCGCGCTTCGTGGGCAAACACGATCAACGTGTTTACATGTGACAGGGTTCGAATGGTCGCCATGAGCAAGTCGGCCAGTTCCGTGTCTCCGTAGATCAAATCCGAGCACAGAATCACGTCAAACGGGCCAGCTATCGACGTCGTTGCATCTGCATTACATGAGTACAATGACATTAGTACGGCAAGCCGCAGGGCTTCGATGATAAATGATATGACGACATTGACCGTACCAGGGCCCCACATCAATGGCATCGATGAAACAGTCGTCATGTTAGCATCAAAGGTGTTTTTGGCAATGTTAATGTCAATCCATGGAATGGCTTGGGCCTGTTGATCGTGTGTGAATGCATCGAGAAGACTGGAAACTTGGTGGTACCATGTCTGTCAACACAACTTGCTTGGCCCCGAGTAGAGCAGCGGACAAGCCAGGCACGCCAATTCCACATCCCAATTCGATGATTTGTTTGCCATTGAAGGAGCCCTAAGTGCACAGCGTGCCTGTGAGCGGTGGCTAGAAATAATAGCAGGAGACGCGAGCGTGGTAGATAAGAAGGTAAGGACTGGATTTCATACCGGTGGAAAGTACAACGGGTTCGCGAGGAACTTGGATACGACTAAAGCGCAGTCCCATACTCTGCGCTGCTGACCCAACTCTTCCTGGAAGTGAACTGTTACGTCTGCCGTCAAGGCGAGCTGGCCTCCGGATAACCCAGCTTTGTCGCGATGCGAGAGGCCCCACGACCGCGCCGCGATGTTGTCGGCATACGCTTGTGCCTTGACACGTTTGGACTCATCGAAAGTTGCGTCAATTAAGTCGTCATCGCTCGAACTCGAGTCGTCCTCAGAGTCCGAGTGAGTGATACCCAGCCACTTGTGCATTTTGATGTGTCGCCGTGAGCACCGTCTTCCGAGCATTGATTGGCGTGGTTATGCCCAATCATTTACGCTCTTGGAAAAAGCATACACTTTGATTGGTCCACGCAGGGTACGTTACGAGATAGGATTGGCTAGCACAAAGTACAACATCAACATCTTTTCAACCAATTGCATTGCATTTCTAAAAATATCTTGGACTCAAGTTTCACATTCTCGCGATGGCGGCGGCGACACGACGACGATGGAAATCGGAAGCCGAGTATGATATCAACGTGGCATCTCCGAGAGACAATCGCACTCACAATATGTGCATTAGATAGTGACAAAGATAAAGCACCGGACGCAGACGAGTCCGACGCGGCAAAGGCGGTGGCCGGGGTCTTCCAAACAAGGTACAACCTCATCGGTATCACATTTGCCTTCATACACGCCTGTTCTGTAGAGTCTACGGCTTCGCTGCGACCACAATCCGCCAAGTTACACGCGAAATTCCTCGATCTTACATTACGTCCTGAGAAGAAGAAGCGTGGACGGCCAACAACAGCAAAACATCGCGAAGTCAAGTTCTCGCCTGAGTACCCAAAGCGAGGCCAGCTCTATAACGACGTACACGAGCCCAATGCCACCTCTGCTGCACTTTGGAGTGACGACGACGACGATGAAGGCGGCTATGCAGTTGACGACTCCTCCTCTGTCGAGCTCAAAGTCGCAGCACCAAGCTGTTCCAAGCTGAAAGTGATTGTGATGCAGGCCATTTTGCAGCGTGAAGAATGCCTCGCCACGATTGTCCAAGGATGCCAAGAAGGAGGATGGAGGCCAGGAAATGATGGAATTTCTCGTATATTGCCGCTCCTGGCTCCACTGCGGTTGCTTTCCCTGGCGGTCGTTGAGAGCATCTTGCGATGGAAGGTCGCGGCGGACAACCGGGCGTTTTTGTGGGATGGCGCGAGTTATTTGCACAAGGTAAATCTCTCTCTATTGCCCCAAGTTGTGGTTTGACCCAATCGGGTTTGTAGATGACGTCCGACACGAACGTGTTGGACCCGTTTTTGTCGTTGGAGTTGGGGTTTCCCATGCGCCGCAACCCGTTTATGTCGTCGATGGCTTTGGATACCCCCCAATTGACATTGCTCGTGTGTTGTCCGCACAAACAACAACGAACAGACGACGTGGTCCAGTGCATTGCCCGACGCCTGCATTTTGGCACCCTCGAGGTGGGTTCTTTGTTGCGAACCCTGATTGTCTTCTCTCAGCGTGCCACGTCATACGCGTAGCCGGGCGACATGGCGTTGAATACGCGGGTGATTTCTGCCATGGTCGCCATCGTCAAAGAAGACATGGAGACCCAACTCGACCAAGAAGTAATGTTGGGGCAAACTCAACACAAAGCGTCTCTTGATTTGGACATGTCCACAATCTCATTCGAACCCGACCCAGAAGCCACGGTCGCCACAATTCCTACCTTGAAGCAACAACAACAGCAGCAGCAGCGACAGCCCAAGTTGTCGGCCGTGTACTCGCCGCGGGACCCACGGAACGACTCTGCTACGAATACGTCCAAAAATAGTAGCAGCTTCCGAAAGCTACTCCATCCCGTGCCCACAACGAATGAAACTCTAGGACGTGGCACGAGTGACGACGACGACGACGTGCACAACGACCTGCAGCGCATTTTCTCCTTGTGCAACGACGTGTCCACAGCCGCAAGTCAATTGAAACGTCAGCTGCATGTTCTGGACACGGCCACCAAGATGGATGCGCCGTCCGCCACAATCTTCTGCGCTCTAGAACCGATTCCGTCGTATGCTACATCTCCACTTGCGACGCCCCTACGTAGAAGGGACCTGGCCTCGCCCTCATCGCCTATCCAGTCAACGCCCAGTCCCGATATCATTAGTGCCAACGACGACAAGCTGACGTCGTACATTGAATCGTTGTCGACTCGCATCGACCGCTTGCGAGCGTTTGACGTAGAGGCAGCTACAGACGACGACTACAAGAGCCTAGCCATACCATCTCCAGTGAGGTCCCCCCATGACGACGGCACCGTCCAGTCACCCTTGTCGTCCACGTCGCTGGCGTCCCCGATCTTTCCGAAGGCTGCGTCATTGGCGCGCCACCAACCCTATCGTTTTGCTTCCCTTGACAAGGTTGAATCAACTCCAAAACCAACGAAAACGTTATTGCAACGAACGTTGGCCAAACACAGCAACACCATTTGCGCAGAAGTACCAAGCAGTCGCAGCCCACAACCCATACCTTTAACACCGACAAACCAGCGCACAACGCTCGTCCGCAATACTTCCAACTCGAAACGAGCCCCTCTCACAACAACGATGACACCAGCGTCGTCATCGTCACGTAAGCTTGGAAAGGCCATATACGATGCGGATTCTGATCCTATCAAGCAAGCCAAGTCGACAGAAAAGGCCACGGGTGACACATATTCTCCCACCTCTCAAAGGCAACCACGCACCAAACAAAAAAACAGCGCGGGCAACACTCGTCCATGTCAGCATGTGCTGCCTGATGACGCAAGTCCTCGTGATTCTGCGTCGAGTAGTTTACCAACAGCCTCCACACCTCGAGAGGCCGATTGGCAGCAGCACCGCCGTAAAAGCAGCGACCACCGCATGCATTGCGTGGCGCAACACCGGTCTGCCGTCCGATTGCAAGCGTGGTGGCGTCATGTTCGCTGGCGTCGGTCGCGGTACCAGCATCGGCGACGCCGACAGTTTGCCGTTCAGACGATTGAAAACACGTACCAGCGCCACCGCCGTCGTCGTCAAACGCGTCAACGAGAGGCGGCGGCCAGTGTCCTCCAACAGTGGGCGATCCGTCGCACAGCTTTGAGACGGGACTGGCGCGCTCTCTGTCACACCAAACGACGAGCGGTCGCAGGTCGATCCATTCAACGGTCATGGCGATCTTATCGAACCAAGTGCCCCTGTCTCGACGACGAGGCGCACACGACGTCTGGTGCGGGGCTTGACATCCTCACATTGGTACAATCCGTCCTCCTGGAATCGATTCTGGACCGCGTTTGGATATGCATCGGCGTCAGGTCCACGGCGGCGGCTACGATTCAAAGCCAGTATTGGACATTTCAGTTTAACCAGCAGCAAGCGTCGGTATTGCAACGCCACCATACCCCCGTGATTGGCGTGGCTGCAATTCCAACGACTGGACACGAGCGTTGTTCGTCTACCATCCCTGGCAGCAATCGGGGTTTCATACCTCCATTGCAAACCAAGTCCCAGCGGGATCTACAAGATCAGTATGCCGACGAAGGCTTCGAGTCGGAAGGAAGCGCGCGATGCGACACGTCGTCCACTACTCCACATGACACCAGACACGATGCAGCAACCAACGCTGTCCATACCGATGTCAAACTGATGGTGATGCCGTACTTTATCCTGTGGATGACCAACCGACTGCGATGTGTGCAATATCGCGATTTGGAACGTCGGGCCAAGCGAGAGCGCGTGCGGTTGGCATACACGACGTGGCACGACCAGAGTCGTCGCATCGTTCGTGTCCGCACGGCGTTTTGCGGATGGCGCGACCAAGCCCAGTTTGAAAAAGACAAGCGAGTGCAAACCCGGGCCGAGTTTGCCCAATCGGCCAAGGCGTGGAAGCAGTTGCAGCGGGGGAAGCATCCGTCGTCTTAATAAGTACGTGACGAGTATGGACATGATTAACGTTTGTAAGTACGACTTGGATACGGTGAACACCGTCATGAATTGTAAAATATACTTGAATTATTTAAGATGGGGACGACTGGTCTGGCGAAGCAGGGGGGCGGTTGGGGGGGCGAGGGTGCCGTCGGCGAGGCGGTGTTCGTAAAAGCAGGTAACGCCAAACGGACAAGTTCCCCTACAGTCCATCCGCCACAAACCAAGGTTTGTATCACGAGGGAATTCAAGGGGATGCGTGGGGGATGATCGTACCGGCCTTCGGCAAACAAGCGACACGGAATTTGAGCGACGTTTGCCTATGCCAAAAAATGTTAAAGTGTTTTTCGTGTAAATGGAGTATACCTTGTAGTCGACAAACAGCCGAGCACGCCTAGATTCGTCCTGTACGTGGCGATTGCACGGCACGACAAATGCAATCTCGGCTTGACAGACGGGACACGCTCGAATCTGATATATATATCATCCAGACATGACGTGATCATTTGTGCAAACGTCACATGACGTTATCATGACGATAGGACAAGTCGTACTGGTGTTTTGTTGTCCTTGTTCCGTACACATTTGAGGCAAAACGCGTGGACACAGCCCGAGAGGATGCCGAACCGTTCGCCTTGGCGCAGCACGAGATCCATGCACAGATTGCATTCAATCGCTTGGGATTCGAGCAATTCCTACAAGTTCAAGTCGTCGTTCGATCATATGTTCCAACAACATCGGTCGTCGATTCGAACGAGTCAATCAACGCACAGCTTGCATGAGTCGTGCTTCGACTGCGTCCAGTGGTTGGCTGTGCGAATAGATACACGCCGAGCCATATCGACACAGCCCTTGTTGGTAGAAACGGCAGGCTTTGCTATGGCCACATATGAGTGGCTACTGTCAAATGCAACATGGGCTACGTACGGCGGGTGGGCTGGTTGCACGTCCGAGTACTCAGAGTATTCGGATGAGTTGCCGAATTGCTCGTAGTGGGGAGGAGGTGGCTGTGATGTCGACAGGGTGGTGGCGGTGGATTGGAGCGCCTTGACGTGGGCTTCCAGCTCGTCCAGTTGAGATTGGTACCCCAAAACGGCTGCGCAGCCAGTACCATCATCGGAAGAATGGGGGGAGTTTGAACCAGCCATGGCCGCCACCATGGGCTCGGGCTCGACGTATGAGAAGTCGGTTTCTTCGTCAATGTCGCGGCGACGAGACGTCAGGCCAAAGATGGACGCGGGGTCGACAATCTCGACTTGGAAGGTCAACCCGTTGATCTCTCCTTTGACAATGCGCCCTGGGTCGGACTTGGGCTGGGACGGGTGCGACGCTTCGGAATGTGTGGCTGTTCGTTGGTCAGTCGAAGTCAATTTAGCCACGGGGACCACAGGCGCCACCGCGGTGGCCTGCAGCGACGACGACAGAAGCGACGGATTCGAGTGTGGAAACGATGCAGCCTCGTCCGAGTACGAGTTGCCGCGGGAGTGCAACGAGTGGTCGAACCGACAGTTGGTCCCGAGCGTGCATTTGTTTTCGCGGAAGAATTTGCATGCTGCTGGTCGCCTTGGTTTGGACGATGTGATTGTGTGTTCAAAGCGGCAGGAAGCTCCTTTCGTGCACTGGTTCTGGAGGTAGAAGGTGCATATCTTCTTTCCGTCAAAGCTCATCTTCGCCACTAAAGGGTGCTGGTACCTCCCACTGGACTGCCGCTGCTACCGTGCCAGCTCAATTGCCTGGTGTGCAACGATGGATTTCATCCGGATGAGTACCGGATTTGCTCCAAAGGAGAGCGAAGAGAGCGAATAATTGAGCTCTCACTTTGTGGTGGCATATACCAGTCATCCCCCGATTTTTGCAGCCTGGTATAAACGAATATCCTGTGTAATCCCATGGAATATTCAATTTAACAGGCTATTGAAAAATTAATAATGGGAACACAAATGCGGTGCCAGCCCCAAGTCATATCACAATATCAAGAGCGTTGTCCATTTGCCATGCGAATCCTTGCAAAGTGGTTAACTCTACATATACGATGACATGGCTGTCGGAATAAATTCGAGCACTGGATAACAAGCTAGGACGTTGTTAGATGTTTCTACTGTAAGAATGAGAGTGTACTTGCTTTGAGACATTGTACGACTACATTTCACAAAACGTGTAGGGTATTCTGATGTTTACGATTAGATTTTGCTCATCGAATGTGATTAATATCCTTACCTAGTGTGAAGGTATACTCCTCCAAGACTTCATATAACCCTTGCATATAAGTACCTCCGTAAAACTATATTTGGTAGGGGCTGCAAAAATCGGGGGATGACTGGTACTTGGCATAATTGCCAGATCGCGAGCATTTAATTGACGATGCTATATATCGTAACGCCACAACGCATGTTGGATGTTCTTTGGCAGGTCAATGCCTAAAAAGCAATGAGGTATTGTTGATCTGGAGAAATGAAGGAGAGTGATTCTGAGTTTCATATTTGTATTGCAGAACTCTCAGTTTGCCTGATTGATACAGCTCATCTTAGTCGCCTGTCTAATTAGAACACACGTTATTTTAGACGTTTTAATTATTTGCAACGTTGTAATTCCTATACTTCGAAGTACTTGTACACAATTAGTTTTACTAATTTAACGTGGAACGTTTAACTGTAAATATCATGTCCCATCTGGGCAGCATGATGGTTGACGAGATGTCTCGCCTTTGCACTCTTCCACTTGCCACGTCCACACCTGTCAGTCGACAAAAAAGCACCAAAGAAACCCTCAAGCCATGGACGCCATGAAGGACAAAGTCAGTGACTTCTTCAACCATAGGAACAACTTGGAGCTCGTCCTGCGCGTCGTGCAATGGTTTGTCGCGGTAGTGTCGTTCCTGTGTAGCACGGCCGTCACAGGGGTTGGCGCCGGTGACTTTGCCTTCCTGATGACGTACACGCTGTGGGTGTACACGCTGCTGTACATTGTACTGGTGCTGCGGCAAGAAAAGCTGTCGCTCCTTCCGCTGCACAAAATCTTCGTGGACTGCGGGTTCACCCTCAGCCTTTTTGCGGCCGGCATTGCGGTCGCATGCAGCCCAATGATCCGATATTGTGGTGGCGGTGGCTGCGGCGCGGCCTATGCTTGCGTCGTTTTTCTGTTTGTGGGCTCCCTGACCCAAGGTGCATCAGTCTATATTACGTACACCCAAGAATACCGCCACCGTTCGTCCGACGAGTTTGCGAGTCCCCCAGCTGCTATTCTTCAGGCGTAGATTATATATTAACCATCCGAGCGGGTTAATTTGATCGACCCTTCCATCTCGTTCAGTTGGCTAGAGCGTCACACGAACTTTGGACGGCCAATATCACCTTTCATGCGAATTGCTGCTAGCTCGGGACATGTTACAGTATAGTGACCGATTAGCCACCGATAGAATTCACTTGACCAAGCGCACCCAAGTGGTATCAATATACTACTACGTAGTACAGTACTAACGTTACGTATTATACATACCGTATAGTGTATATGTATTGCGACGGATTAATCGATTGCAACTCCTGTAATAACTGATATTTTTCTTGTAATAACTGATATTTACTTGTGAATACGTTGAATATACTTCAAATTTGTATGACGCAATGGATTAACAAATTTTTGAGAACGAGTGTCGGCCGGTTGTGAAATATCACCTGTCGCAATACATATACATTATACGGTATACGTACCGGTATATATACTACTAGTAAGTTACTTAGTAGTTGATTTATTAACCGTGGGAACTTCTGCGACATGACTCACAAGGCTTCGGATCCATTACTACTACGTAGTATATACTCCGGAGTATCTTCGTTTTAACACTGTAGTTGAAAGATTTCTTTCTCTGTTCCACAAATCTGTCGAGCGAGCAAAAATCAATTTGTTCCAAAATGAGTGTCGACATTTCAATATTATTGGCTAATACAAAAAACTACTAGTATACATTTCATTGCTTAACATGTACTACCTCTGGTAGGTATTAAGTGCAGACGGTGACAAAAATTAGTGTTCCAGTTATCCGATTGGCCTAAACCTTAGTGAAGCGTGTTCGTTTCATTGAGGCGATTCTGATCATATTTTTTGTTGAATTATATGACCACATTCGCACTTGCTACGACTCCAAGTCTGCTCGCAATACAAATTCCTAGTCAAATTTGACGAACGACAAGCGCATGGCGCTGTACCAAGAGCTTCAGCAACTAAACACAAATGGGGCACATTGCTGTCGACGATGCCTTGTTAGTTCAAGCGGCAACTGAGGGTGGTTGGAACATCCAGCTAATGTGCCAACCAGGTCTAGAACGTTCAGGTCCTCAGTCGCAGGTTGGCACAATAGAGTTGAAGAAGCCCAGGTCTAGAACGTTCAGGTCCTGCGACTGAGGACCTGAACGTTCTAGACCTGGGCTTCTTCAACTCTATTCAGTCACTGTAGCAGCAAATGAAATGTCGGTCCATGGAAGACCTGTCAAGGAATCGTTCAATTGTCTGCCATCATTGACTTTGGAGAAGACTATTTGAACCTGGCGACGGGTAATGCATGAGATTGTTGGGGTTAATGGCGAGAACAGCTACAAGATCCCTCGGAGCGATGTGACTGAGGATGACGCGATTGCATTGTAATTTTAATTGATGGATACGCGCCTGGAAGCAGAGGATCGCATGAGCCATGCCTGTGACCTGATGCAGGTCATGGTAGTAGTGAAAGGGGAGGGTTCTGACTCGACCCTAACTAGGCTTCCTGGTGTCGATGCCAAGGACCTAAGGAAACCTGGGACTGAACCAGCGACCATCGGTGAGTTCTTGTCCTACTTAGATCAGGTGTAAAGTGATCTATAAGTAGACGCGCTCCCAACTGAGCCAAAAGAACTGGTCAATCTGGACATGAGATTGTACTACGAGAATGAGTACTCTCGACTGTTGTGTAAACTTTTTAAATACAGATTCGTTTTACTTGGTTTTTGTATTGCATTGAATGTTTGCCTGCACTTTATACCTACCAGAGGTAGTAAAAAGTAAATCAAACCACTGATGGCAGAAGAGAATAGACGAGAAGCACACAGGTCAAGCAACACTCGCCATGAGCGTACTAGCACGCCTCAGTCAGAACACTGTTCTGTTAGAGAACATCCCCACTTCCCTGTCAGTCAGGTAGCAGCGTCTGCTAGCTGTGTAGGAGCTTTTTTGTGCCTTCTAGAGGCTTTTCGTCAGAGTAGAAGACAGCGCAGACTCGTCACGGAACATCACAGGATGTCGTGGCCAATCATACTCTAGGATTTGATTGGCTGTTGGAGGAACTGGCACATCTATAGCCAGTTTCTCCTCTGCCGTCAGAACTAATTCACTCTCAGTTCTTCATCCATCCACGCACGTGTCTGCTGCTGCTTCCTGCCCTTCCAAGTGGTTATGAGCCTTCCACCTCCTTCCTCCTCTCGAGAAGCCCTGGCTATCACCCACCGCTCGTTGGCGCCGAAAACTATGACGAATGGTTCATTGAACTCACGTCGATCATCCTCCCAGGGTGAAGCGTTGGACTCGATGGCAACGCAGTACACCGAGGTCAAAGCCGTATCGTCAAAAGCTGGAAGGGCATCCCCTTAGCGACAGCAAACCGCTTCCGCGCTGTTGGCGCTGCCCACGTGTATCATGCAAAACTACTACATGTGGCGCGGCCCGAAGCCGAGTATCCCATACCAGAATATGCGCCGCTTGTTGGAGCAGCACTGGCAGGACATTTAACTCTAAAATATTCGTCAATCCAAGCGGCCGCTGTCCCCTGGGGGAGCCATAGCTAAAATCCCATTTGTGGATTGGTGTGGCTACTGCCTGTCTTCAGGCAGCCACTTGACGAACACCTGTACGAAGCTTTCCCGGGCGTTCTACCAGAACGCGGTGCGTCAAGATTTTGTGTTTTCACCAGGATGGGCTGCCATTCCACCCTGGTAAATTACCCCCAAGTGGTGGCGGTCGACACACTCAAGGCGGGCCCAGCGGCCACCGCGGTGGAAAACGCCACGACAAAGGCGGCGGACGTGGTGGAGGAACCGTGACATCCTTCCTCAACACCATTCGCCAAGGCTACGCATCCAGCGGCCCACCCGGTTACGCTCCCAGCTGCCGTCAAGGCTACGCCAGTTTCAACTACAGTACGGCGATTATCGCGACGATCAATGCGGCCATAGCCCGTTTCGTCAGTCCGACTCCGCTACCGCAGACACTCAGGCGACCGTTACCGCGACTACTATCGCGAAGACCGCAGGTCTTACCGCGCCAACTAAGACGACCGGCGCTACCGCAGCCGCAGCTATTCCATGTACGACGACCGGCGCCATCGTAGCCGCAGCGACAGTACGCCTCCAGCCGACCAAGGCTACGCCCAACCGGCATCCACCCCCCTGCGCAGCCAAAGCCGCAACGCGTCGCGCGGCTCTACGCGTACGTTAGTGTATCAGAACACACGTCAACAACGTGACCAGACTTCTTATTTATGTCTTCATGCACACATGCCGGCATTTATGTCTCGATATATCTTAGATGAACAACATTCACATGTTTCATTTACGGGACTACAACAGTCGACCGACAAGTCAAGCACATTCAAAATACTTTCGACATTATTACAGGACTTCAGTCCGTACTACGATTCGCTCAATACTACCGTATCGCGATCACTTGTATTTACGGGTATTGGATGGGCACTTCTCGTGTCACCAATCAGCCCGGTTGTCAAAGAGCAAAGGCGATCCCGTCACTGGACGGTCGATAGTGGTGTGGGCATCCAAGCACTCCACCTTCCATCGTGAGTGGTTCACCACCTATGAACCATTCTCATCCTTTGCTGGTGCAGCTGACGGCCACCAACTCCACGTCATCGGCCGTGGCACAGTACGACTCGAGGTCGCTGGCACCAACGATAACACATTAGTCGTTTATCTGCAGGATGTATATCATATTCCTGATTTGCACTTCAATTTATTTTCCGTGGGTCGTGCACTACACATGGATCGACATAAAATTGTCTCCACCACCCCACAGGAGTGGACTTTAGCCACCTACGACAGCGAGTTCACCGCAGCCTTGTTCAAATGAGGCAAGGGAAAGCGGTTGTCACCCGTTGTTCTCGAGTACAATCACATCACGGCTTGCAAGGTAAGGAACACGTAGTCCAACTTCTCAACTTTGAGCTGGACGAAGGCAGCCAATGTTGCAGCAATAACCTCGTCAACAGAACGACTCACCTTCTTGTATTGAAGGGATTGATGTAACGTATACTTTAATTAGTATTAAATGTGTTGACTGATTCCCTCCAAGCGAAGCCGATTTTGAGCGCCTAAATTTGGTAATCGGGCTTTTCAGCTAATGCATGTTTCATCTAACGTGACGGATCAGTGATTTGCCGATTTTAAGCTCCCTTCAATCGACCATATCTGGCGAAGTTCAAATTATCTCGACGTGAAAGTTGCAGTGCCAAACTCACCTTTTTGAGCTTTATCTCATCGTCCGAATACAAATCAAGTATGAGAGTTTGAATCAGGGCAAATAAAATGTCAAAGTTAGGTGCTCAAAGAGGCGATCGGTGATTGGCCGAAATTTAACCTTGTAATCAGTATGGGAATTTTACACCTTCCATGAAAAAAAATTTTTGAGTTATAGAGCAATATTATATGTATACAGTAATAATATTTTACACGTCGTACTTGATTTGAAAACAGGCGAGCCCCTCTTTAAGTTAGTACTATTCCCACGATAAGGTTTTAAAGGTGTCGGTTGTTGCAGGCTTTTATTATTTCCAATCATATCGATTCTTGAATTCTATTGGATAATGCAGCTCGGCAAATCACCGATCTTTCGGCAAATCACAGATCCGTCACGTTAACAGTAAATTTACATATTCTTTCAAACTTGATTTGAATCATCAAGTTTGGACAAGAAATAAATATATGGGGCCTATGAGAAGTCCTAGGTCGAGAGATTTGTGAAACAGAGGAACTACTAAATATAGTATTACCCAGGATATTTTTTCTAGAGGTTGATGAACGTTCTTTATAGTAACGTAAAAACCAATGTATGACCCGAAAATCGACCCCTTAGCTTTATTCGATATCTCGACAACAATGACGAATTGGACGTACTTCCAATCATGACGTGAAAGACGATTGAACGCTGTACATTACATCTTATGCTCAAGCTTTAAAGAGTTTGATGTAGTAGGCTTCAGGAAGGTATTCTCGTCAAAGTCAAAATTATGAAATTTGAGAATACAGAAGTCCCCCGGAATACGGAACCCACCATAAATCTATATCCTTTCAGAAAACATAATCTTGCGTGCAAATCAGTCATAAAATCCGAGAGGTACATTCAACTATTAAATTAACCACGCAAATAATGCAACACATGTTGGCGACACTCACACTTGGAACTCAGCATGCCGTCGCCGTCGTCGCGGCTACGATTGACAATCGAGCAGAAGCGTACACTGTTAAAGTAGCATGCGTCACGCGCTGCCATGAAAAGAGTTGAGTTGCGTCGATGGGCTCGTTTAGCATTTGGCCTTTCACGTGACCCTCTAAATTCGACAATCGACAATATCACGGTGGCAACCTCCTGAAGACAAAATACACAACACGTTT